AGATCGCCTGTCCGTGGTGGAGGAAGGTACAGCGCGAGCCCTCCACCCCGCCGTCGTCGTAGCTACTCTCGCAGCCCCCCTCGGGACAAGCAGCGTGACGAGATGGACACCGACGGTCGTGCTACCCGCTGGTGATTGGGTCGCAAACACCCTCGATTCAAGTTGCCATCTCTTCGTGTTCCATGTTTCCCTTTCTCTATTCTAGGCCCCTTCAAATCACGTTCGGTGAAGCTCAATACCGTCAGCTGGATCCGAGAGAATGCGCAATGTCTACGTCGTCATTTTATTATTTCCAAAACCCCCAAAAGAGAAAGACGCTCGTCAACCCTCACGTACTCAAGTTCTGCGTTGTTTGTTTTTGTCCTCTACTTTTGTACAAGTCTGCAATTGCGGCCCGGGTGTCCAAGCTATCAAGAGTGTTGCCCCCAAGATCGCTTTCGCGCTTTAAGTAGTGGCAAGCATCAGTCCGACGACTCGATACGTCTTTTGCATGTCCAAGTACAAGCGGCAAGGTAGGCTTCAGAAGAGCAACACAATGAAGGTCGAGTCCGCAAAGCCAATCGCCAATGCCAATTGGTGAGGGTATGTGGATTCAGACAGCGCTGATCTCAGTGGTGTGGGTGTTGCAGATCCCGGGGCAAGTTTATCCAGAAGCGTTCAAGGATAGCCCCAGACGTTCTCGACGAGCGCGGAACACCCGATCCTTTTGCGGACACTCGTCTCCCCGTCCCAGAGCAGCGTCAAAGGAGCCAGGTCAACCAAGCCCGGCATTGCAAGAACGAGTCGACGAGCCTTCATCCGCGTTCTTGTATGCTAGATACGTTACCTACATACATATATATCGTTAAAAACAGAGTTTCAAACTGCCTCCATGAATTGTGTCGAGGGCGCCGTTTCACGGGCTGTTTAGAATGCAATCCACCGACAGAAAGCTGAAATGCACAGACAACTGAGGAGCAAGACTTTACTGGTTTGTGAGACCCCCTTGGATTATAGCAATCATGATTATTAATATGAAGCTTCCAACAACAATCTTCTCTGGTATATCGGTAGAACATCACCCTGTCATGTTTCTGGGAGTCCAACCCAGTAAACCGCCTCGGTGAAGAGCTGGGTTCGACTCCCAGGAGGAGAGCACTTTTTTGCCTTTTTTTTTCAACCTGGAGCCAACATTCCATCTGTGACCTAACCATTCACGATTACAGTCCATTACGTTGGGATAACGAGACTGCAGCAGCAAGTGCTTGTTTTTGGAGAAGAAGAGGACAAGAGTGTGGTGTTCAGCAATTATAGATTGGCCAGAAACAAATGGTGAGGACAAGGAAAATTTGAATTGTGCATGCTATGACAAATTAATGCCCATCAGATCTCCTCCCAAGAAGCGTCATAACTCCAAAGCAACCCCAGAGTCCCAACAATGGCCTCAAGCGTTACCTCAAGTGGCAGACCCTGGTCCAGACCTTGAGATGCTACACACCATGTCCCAGGCCAACGTTATACACAAGATACATCAGGCTACCATGTTTGATCATGCAACCCTGCAGGGAGCTGCGGTGGCTCAAGCATACTCCAAACCCAGCGAAGGCCTACAGGCCTCCCGTCTCTCCCCATTCAACCTCCCTACCAAAGACGATTTGCTCAGTAAAACAGAGGCAAATGACAGAGTTCATTTTTGCCCTCTCAGCGGCAAGCCAGGCTTACATCTTGTCACTCTTTCGCATGTACCTCGAACGGCAGGATTTGCTATTCTACCTCATCCCAGGAGATGGTCTAGTTTCTCCAGTGTGTGAGTATCCCTTTTCTCGGTCTAATGTCTCCTAAACGTGGCTCAATTGAGGTACTCTAGATGTCCTGAAGACGTTTCTAGAGACCATGATATGGTTGTATCGAACTGCCAAAGGTACAGTGCTTCAAGAGAGGACCCTAATTGCATAATGCTCATGCTTGGTTGGAGCTGTGAGTGGCTAACCAGATTCTACTTCACATATGCTTTGAAATTAACTTTCTCTCTCTCTGAAACAGATTAGCCGTCTCAAAGACTTCCAAATCAGTGATGTCGTCACAAAGCAACTTCAGGTCGTACGTAGCTCTAAAGTGATCTCTCTCCCCTTTTGAAGTGCTAAAATGCTTTTCGTGATCCATGTCAGAGTTTAGGACTGTGGCTGTGGCGTGGGAGAGGCGAAGAACCCCGCTGTGGACTGTGGACAATGGACGAGAGATAACGCGCAGGGAAGAGCGACGTTATGTAGCAGTGGAGAGTGAGGAAAAAGCTATGATTGAACTATGGGACTGTGGAGAGACAATAGGCGGAATGAGGAACAAACCTCCTCGTTCCGTCGCACTTAAATACCTGTGCTGTTGCAACTAGAACGTTCTACTACACGACTCTAACATGCTGGAACCTGCTACTAAGCACGACTTCATGACAAAGACTAATGTAGGCAAACGTGAGGCGCTGACGAATGCGCGGAACATCATAGAACATCAAAGAACATCACCGGTTATTCGGAACGGACTAAGCCGATTTGGTCATGTGATGGGAATTATCTAATCACGTGATTCGTGTTCATTAGGTCACGTGATAAGATGTGATGAGGTCATCACAGTTGCCCCTCCTAAGGCCGTTTCCTCTGGGAACGTCGTTGTCCTTCAGTAGGTTTGAACGCGTTTGGGAAGCGTTGGTGGAAGTCGTCGATGAATCGTTGCGCATTGTCCAGATTGGACAGGGGCTCCCAAGTGTCGCTTTCTTCCCCGAACCCCTTCCATCTGACCAAGTACCTGATGGACCCGTGGTACTTCTTCGAGTTGAGGATCTTTTCTACTTCCCATTCTTCATGATCTTCCACTTGGTCTGGTTCCGGTGGTTCTTGGACACGTCCGGGAATCGTATCGGCCGTGTGTGGTGTCAGCAGGGAGACGTGGAATACCGGGTGAATGCGCACGGTGTGGGGCAGTTCCAACTCATAAGCGTGGGTGGAGATTACTGCTTTAATCGGGAAGGGCCCCAGTTGTTTGGCTGATAGTTTCTTCGAAGGACGATCCGTATTAATGTTCTCGGCACTTAGCCAGACTTTGTCTCCAACACGGAAGGTAGGTTCGGCTTCGCAGTGTCGGTCATAGAATTCCTTTTGCTTCACTTGAGCAAGGGCCATGGCTGCTCGAATCTCTTGTTGTAGGGATTCAATTCTCTCCAGCCGTTCTTCCGCGTTCGGGTTAGCCTGCGCGCTGGACGGCATATTCGTGAACGTGGGGTTATAGCTTTTGTTGGCCATAAATGGTGATTTTCCCGTAGACGAATAAATCGAATTGTTGTAGGAGAACTCGGCAAATGGGAGACATATATCCCAGTCGTCCTGCCTGTGGTTGCAGTATATCCTAAGGTATCCTTTCACGTTTTGGTTGACCCGTTCCGTCTGTCCATCGGTTTGCGGGTGATACGCCATGGAGAAGCTTGGCTTAATTCCTAATCCCGTGAAGAGTGCTCTGAGGAAGGGGGCGTTGAATTGGGGTCCTCGGTCTGACACTGTCCTGGCAGGGAGCCCATGAAGCTTCCAGACGTTGGCTATGAACAGTTCAGCTGTCTTCGAGGCGTTGAGTCCTTGCTCTTTAGTAGCCACGAAGTGTGCCTCTTTGGTCAACCGGTCAACCACTACCATGATCGTGTCGTTTCCTTCCTGAGTTTTGGGGAGTTTAGTGATGAAGTCGTACGACACGTCTTGCCAGGGTCCTTCGGGTACAGGGAGTGGTTTGAGGAGTCCAACTGGCTTGGCGTAATGCGGCTTATTCCTTTGGCAGGCATCACAGGCTTCCACGTATCGATTGACGTATCCTTTGAGTGATGGCCAGTAGTAACCTCTTTGCACCAGCTCTAGCGTTTTCGCTTGCCCTCCATGTCCTGCCATTGGCGAATCATGGTAGAGTTCTAGGATCTGGCGCTTGATTTCTTCCACTGCTGGGACATAGATTCTTTGCTTGAACCTGAGGATCCCTTCTTCCAGCTTCCAGTCCTTCATTTCTTCCTGGATTTTGGCTGGTGCTTCTGTTGGCCTGGCTCGTAGGAATGCGAGGATTGGGGTCGCCATTGGGTCTTGTTCGACCACTTCCTTAATTACGTCCGCGATTTGCTCATCTGTCATCATTAAGGCTGGTTCTCCTGCTTCTTCGGCTTTGATTTCTTCAAACCTTGAGGGTGGTAGGAGCACAAGTGGTGCTTCTTCTGCCCCCCCTTCAGGACGGTGATCCGGTCTTCTGGATAGTGCGTCTGGTTTTCCCGATTTCTCTCCTGGTCGGTACATGATTTTGAAGTCGAAACATAGCAATTCTTGTAGCCATCGATGTTGTCTTGCTGTCAAGGTTTGCGCTGTTTTGAAGTACTGAAGGTTCTTATGGTCACAGTAGATTTGTGTTGGGAATTTAGCCCCTTCCAGGTAGTGTCTCCAGTATTGCAGCGCTCTGACGATTCCAAGTGCTTCTTTGTCGTATACGTCATAATGTCGCTCTGGCTGTGTTATAGATTTCGACATGAACGCGATCGGATGGATTTTGCCGTCTTCTCCTCGTTGGGATAGTATTGCTCCATAGGCGTAGTTCGATGCATCGGTTTCCAGTATGCTCGGTCGTTCTGGATCATGGTGGATTAATATTGGTGCGGATGTGAACAGGACTTTAAGGTTTTCGAATGCACGTTGGCATCCATCGTCCCATTTCCATGGGGTATCTTTTTGGAGTAGTTTCGTGATTGGTTGCGATATCTTGGAAAACCCTTGGATGAATCGTCTGTAGAAATTGGCGAACCCTAGGAATGTTTGAATGTCTTTAACGTTCCTTGGTACTGGCCATTCCCTGATTGCCTCTACTTTGTGTTTATCCATTGATATCCCGTCAGGTGTGATCCATAACCCGAGCCAGTCCGTTTTGTTGACAAAGAATTCGCATTTCTCTGGTCGGCAATGGAGCTGGTTATCTTGTAGTCTCCTCAGGACTTCTTTTGTGATCCTGACATTTTCCTCCCTAGTCTCCGTAGCCGGCATTGTGTCGTCTAAATAGTTGACAACCGACACGTCCAGGAGGTCATGGAGAATATGGTTGACGAATCGTTGGAACACTGCTGGTGCGTTGCAAAGACCAAATGGCATAACCGTCCACTCGAATAGTCCGAATCTTGTCTTGAACGCTGTTTTCCATTCGTCTCCTGATGCTATCCTAACCAGGTGATATCCCCATCGGAGATCTAGTTTGGTGAACCATTTTTTTCCCTTTAGTCGGTCGATGAGATCAGACGTAAGCGGGATGGGGTACTGGTCCTTGACTGTGATGTCGTTGATTTTTCGGTAATCGATAACCAATCGTTTCTTTCCGTCCTTCTTTCCGACGAAGAAACAAGATGAGGCCACTGGTGAGTTGGACGGTCGGATGTACCCTTTTGCCAGACTTTTGTCGATCCATTTCTTAAGCTCCAGGTTGTCTTCCGCCAATCCCGAATACAGTCCTCCCGGTTTAGGCAACGGTTCTCCAGGGACAAAATTGATCTTGCAGTCGTAGTCCCGATGTGGTGGCAGGGCTTGACTCGTACTCGGTTTTTTGAAGACGTCTAAGAATTCGTGTAGTTCCCTGGGTACGATCTGGTCGACGGGTTTGACCTCCTTCCGGTGTTCGGCGGCTATCATAGCCGAAATGCTTGTGGCCGCGATGTGGACTAGTTGCCCTTCGACTTCGACCGGAAATTCAACCAACCCTTCTATTGTTCCTTGGTCGATGGGCGGGAGGCCTTCAAAGTGGCTCAGCAGGGATTCATCATCTGGCAGCCCATTTGCTTTTCCTAACACGTCGGCCACTTGATCCAAGCATTCATTAGAGCAGTATACGTCGTCAAACGTTATCCGTTGCTACCTCCAATCGATTTGCGGGTTGTGTTTATGCAGCCATGGGGTGCCTAGTATTGTCGTGTGTTTCCCTATCCCGGCGACGTCCATCACGATTCTTTCTTTGTGAGCCCCTATCCTCAGTTCTCCTTGGACTTCTCTTTCAATCGTCTCCATCGCGTGCCCATCAATGGCCACTGGGTATCTTGGAAACATTTTTCGTTGAGTTGGAATCTGGTTTTCTTGTACAAATGTTTTATTTATGAAGTTCGAC